TTGTTGAGCTTTGTACGATTTTTTTTTCACCGAGTTATTCAACATTGAAGCAAAAAGGACCATTTTTGCTTTAATGTTGAATAACTCGGTGAAAAAAAATCGTACAACGCTCAACAAAAAAGCAAATTAAAGGTAAAGATTCACTCTTTCGAAAGCTGTAAACTGCATTTGCATGCGATTTTTAATTCACGCCATGAAACTTGTCAAAGTTCGTAAACAATTTTGAGATTCGTCGGGTCTCCTTTTCTATCCGTGTAATTCCATGAAAGATCAGTAGGATCGTTTTCTAAAGTACCGATTTGGAAAGTAGAGATTTCAAGCTGTAATATGCTTTTTTGAACATCTCAATATGATCATTTTTGACGAAGTTACACTCTCTTGAATTTTGCTTATTTTTGGAGGGTAGAGTAAGTGATGCTTTAATTTTGTTGAGAAGTGTATTATACAAATGTAATCTAATCCAAATCGTAATAGTACACATCTCCCTTTTTGGCATACCTTTCAATCGACGAGCAAGTTCCTTGGTAAACAGAATGTTGGCTAATTTAGATTGTGAATAATTTTTCGTTGGCGTATAAGATCTTTCCAGATTAATATCATCAAAATTTATGTCTCCAACTATAATAAAACATTTCTATTACACAATTGTATTTTAAACAAGGAACCCTGGAGGTAAACAAAAAATATTCTAGTCTCTTTTCAAATCCACTACAATATCGCTATACGTACAAATATATGCAAGTGACGCGACATTGATTATTCTGCAATTAGGAGAAGACAATTGCATTTTTGGCAATAGCAGAAGTGTCAAAAGAAAATGGCTAAGATGGTTGACTTGAAATGTCGTCTCATTTCCATCCTGTGTCTTTTCGTACGGATGCGTAACCACGCCCGCATTATTTATCAATATGTGAATAGCTGCTTCGTTCATCAATAAGTTTTTAGCACAATCTCTCACGCTCTTCAAACTACATAGATCCAGAAAATAAAACACAAGCTCACCAGCATTATTTTTGTATTCATCTTTGTTGACCCTAAAAATATACATATATAGTCACGAATCAC